AATTCTTGACTTTAAAACATGATTTAGCGGCAATCATTATTGCCGCTAAATCCTTATTTTTTGTAGTGGGCCAATCTCCAATATTCTAGAAAATGGAGCACTCACTCCTGAACTGGAATATTCAACTACGCTAGAACTGAGATCTCGAAGAAACATTTGGAACACGATATATACTCAACAAATGAAGTGTATATTGTAGTGTCATGTTAATCCACTTTGGATCATATGCCGCTTTAATTTAAAACAAGTAACAGTTCGTAGATCTAACAACAAATAGGTCATACTGCAAGATATATATAATTCATATTCAACATGTATAGTACCCTAAAGATCAATCATATCATTAATAGATCGTTTAGTTTTCACGAATCACTAATCCTCTCAACTAACATAAAATAAGTTTAAAACCATTAAACACTACATCAGAGGTCAGAATTGATACCTAAACCCCATAACACATGATCTTTGTGAAAAATAGCCTAGGCTGAATTTTTTACCAAGTATCACCCTAAGTAAACTCTATGTACCCATAAACTTCAGTTTTTGACAACCTCCATAAAGGCATAACGAGTCTTCGTCATAATAGGTATATTTTCTATTTAAAACAGGAAATACAATATTGTGTTTCACTAAATCTCACTACTCAAAATTCAAATGTAATGATGAGAACAATACAAATGCTACGGTAGGTAAGCAAACTCTTAGACCAAATCGTATATCATGTCAACGTGGAGAAGTAATGAAAATAGCGGAAATAATGCTCTAAATCATAATGCATCTATATTACATTAAAATATTATATAATTGATTAAAATTGAACAATAAGATTATGTATTATAATATATACTAAAAGTGGATAAGTATTAAATTCTTATTGATTGAAGTTTAATATGTAATTCATTAATTAAAGCAAGTTCCCATTTTTGGATCTCTTTTTACATGAAAAGTCCAGATAGTATTTCATATATAAGTAGACTTTTTTATCTTCAAAAGTTCTAAAAATTAAATAAACCCAACACCTATTTGTTTGTTTTATACATTTTATGGTTTACCACCTTGAAGTTTGTATGTTGAACTATTTAACCTTAAATGATGCTTTGAAAGATTATATATGCCCCGATTTGCATTAATTGTAGTATCAAACTTGAGCATTATATCTTGGTTTTATTTATCGTTAATGTGTTTATAGTACTTCTTTTTAAAAGTTTGCATCAAAATCTCAAAACAAAAGATACACAAAAAAAATTCTCATCCAATAAGACATAATAATGAGATAGGCGGTTGTTGGCGAACAACCTTGAGTGCTGACGTTTATGGACTACGAAAAATGTGATCGAAGGCTAATTTTTTGTGGACCAGTCCCAGTTATATTTGTCGTGGTCGAAAAATATCACCACACAAGGTCGTAAAATCTTTCATAAAATGTTATAAAGACATCAAACGAATAATCAGACCTATCTTTCAACCTACAAAAATACTAAAAAGAAAAATAAATCTAAAAAAAATTCATTATCATTTTTTCTATCTGTATAATAACATATTAAAGGCCTCCATTCTTTTTTTCTTTATCAATGGAGTGAACTGCTAATCATTCAGTGATGTATTAAGCTAGATGCTGAATTGTGTTAAAGCATGGAAGTATTAATTTATAGCAAAATAAGAAGAACATAATAAGTTTAGTCATTAATATTATTAATATGATTTAATATCATAATTTTCAGATGGATGCTTACAGTCAACTTTATTTATTGTAAGGATATTTGTATTCTACCTATATTTATTTCTAGAATACTTATTTTATTTCTAAAATATCTCATTAATTTCATCAAGACTAAATTTTGGTAGATGAATTTTCAAATATAATTTTTTTTTTGAAATCTAAAAGTATATATAATTTTTTGAAATTCAAAATTTAAAAATAATATGCTTTATTCAATATTAAGCTTTCTATTGAATAGAATATTTTTCTCAAATTCTTATTGAGGTATTTCAGAGAATTGTTGTTTTTTCATGACCCGATTGTCCGAGATCGACACCTACACTAATCATATAATGGGAGAAATATCAAAAAATTAGAGACTAGACTATATGTAAGACAATCTAACAAATAAGTAATCATTAAATCCAACTGAGTTTTATAAAAAAAGTCAAGGTCAAATACATAACTAAATCAACATTTGTCATGACCGAAAGAATACCCTAGATATGACATGGTATATAAGACGCTGAGAGGCCCAACACAAGTCACTTCACAAGTCTACTCATAGTTTGGACAAGTCATTCTAATGCATCATAGAAGTGGTCGATACGTAACCCATACACCACGTATAACGTCTCAAAATTAAAGATATATGAAAAATTAAGTAAAGATTACATGGTCCTTAGAACACGAGGACTCACCACGTCTTCAACCTTAAACGATCAATTATCTATGAGCGAGAGGAGAGGAAGGGTCACTCGCTAAATTATTAAAAATATAGGAACAAGTATGCATAATTAGTACATGTAAGTATAAAAAATGATCATAAAAGGAGAAAAGGGGAAAAACATGATATGCATGAGCAGGCTAAAGCACAGAATAGTATAACCTTTAAAGAAGTATCATGAATCATGAACATGGTAAATGCATCGTAAAATTATAAGAAAAGCTTCATAAGAACTTTAAAGTCTCTTTAGTTCATTTTTAGGATATTTTCTATTAACCAACATTGACCACGTGAGCTATAATGTGGAATCTGGTGTCTTGCTCCCACACCGAAAAAAAATAATGTTGCTAACCAAGGCAAAGACCTTAACCTTCTAGTCTCTGTGGATCTTGTAACTATGCCACGACAATCCTACGATGACAAATAGTTCGGACAAGATGATTGCTACTGAAGACCCGAACTGTACTAACCGGAGAACCTCAATATGAATGTCATCTCGGTTTTAAGTAACGTCCCAAGGAAATTAGCCATAAAAATAAACATATCATCATACATAGAAAAACACAATGAAGTTATTAATCCAAGTGTTAATAATCATAGAGTAGATTCTTAAAGCATGTGTGAGAAAATCATTCATCAATTATAATTCCATAGTAAGAGAAAACTTTTCACAATTTCATTGATTCTCATCTCAAAACAACCTAGATCATAAAATATTTATTTTCAGAAAATAATGCATAACTTTAATGAAACCATCATTCATTGATTCATAACTTCTTCGTATATTCATGTATTTAAGAGTTCATAGTAAAAACAATAGAAACTTCATGTGTTTATGTGAAATCAATGGAAAACCATGTAAATTGAGTCAAAAACAATCAAATTCGAACAATTGAGTCAACAAAATTAGAACTCATGATGAATTGAATGAAAAACCTATCATACTATATATAATAAACATATATTTGTTTCAACATTTGAAGTCCTTCCTTTCAAATTGTAGATGTGCACATCAGTCAACCTTTTTTTCATGTGTGACAAACCATCATACTTCGAAAATATTCCCTCAGAAAATCATAATTACTTCACAATAGTTAAATTTGGTAAGTATAATTCTTTTTGCTATTATTTAGGACTATTATATGGTTTCAAATTGCTCCTATCTATATTTTTTTTGGAAAAGGGCATAAAATATCCTCAAAGTATTGGAAATGGTATAAAATTACCTTCCCACCCACCTATTGGGTCCAAAATACCCTTGTCATCCACCTTTCGGTTCAAAATTGACCACTTATTTAACGGTTTTATATTTAAACTATTTAAATATTTTTTAAAATATGTGACGCTCAACTTTTTATTATAATTTAACTTATTAGATAATTTATAAATCAATCCACTACCCACCCAAATACTAATCAAATCCCTCTAAATTAATGAATCCGTCACATTATTAATGCAAGCTACTGTCAATTGAGTGTTTTTAAAAATTATAGAAATAAATTATCATACATTCAAGTGGCTAAATAAAAATCACTGATAAACTTAAAAGTCTGACTATGTTTATTTTAATTATTCTTACGTCTCAATTATATGATGTTACTAGGTAACTTTTTTTCAAAATAATATATTAAAGGTTTTAAAACAAATCATAAATATTTATAAAATTATATTTTAAAAAAGTGCATGAATTAATTCACGATGTATTACTTCTTTACCTTTTAATCATAAATTTCTAATTCAATTTTGAAAGAAAGTGTCCTCCTAAATAAGCGGCTCAACCTAAATTAATTGGAGCTTCGATTCGGACTAGAATAATTTTGAATGTCATTTTGAGGAATCTATAATTTCATCGTGTTATAGTAGTGTTTATGACGATTTTGATATTATTATTGGATTATTAATTTGGTGAGGTTTAATTAGTAATGAGTGAGTAATGGGTTGGTTTATAAATTATATAAATAAATTATAATTATAATCAATAGTTGAATGCCAAGTATTTTAAAAAATATTTAAAGAGTTTAATTTTAAAACAATTAAAAAAAGTGGTCAATTTTGAACCCAAAGATGGATGACAAGGGTATTTTGGAGCCAATAGGTGGATGAAAATGACATTTTGGAGCCAATAGGTGGATGATGGGTAATTTTGTATTATTTTCAATACTTTAAGGATAAAAAATTCTTTATTTGCACATCGACAAAAATAATTTATTGCCGTGAGGTTTGTAAGATCAATTATTTAACCTTATTTATTATTTAGAAATAATGAAAGTAAACTATATGAACCCCTATTCAAAAAAAAAATTGTACATCATATCAATATTATTAAAACAAATGGTGACATTTTTTGTTTAATTTTTCGTATAAAACCTCCAATGCTTTAACGCAAATCATTATACAAATTATTTAATACTTCACCACATTGAAAAATTGAAAGCAAAGAAGGTCTTTGCTATTATAAAGATAATATTAAAAGTACTAGATCTTTCCTAGTTTTTCCTCCTTTTTTTTTTATAGTTTTTAAAAAAATATTGGTATTATTCACAATTGATGGGTTTAGAGTAATTTTTTCTACACTTTAAATCAAAATCTTGAGACATCAATAAAACATGTTTAGGATAAAATTTATGTGAATACATTGAGACTGAGTTTTAATATAATTTCTTCGGAATGTGTTCTTTCTATCATAAATTGTAACTCATACATACACACTAATATATAGGAGAACCGCAAGGCGCCTTCACCTTTGTTCGAACAAGCTCCGTTGATGGCTTGGGTCTAGAGAAATAATGGAGACAAAACGAGTACACCTAAAATATATATAACGGAAATTGTTAGTCATAGAAAATAACCACATAGCAATAAAATAATTTTCATCCCACAAGACATGATAATGAGATGGGTGGTTGTTGGCGTACAACCTTGTGTGCTGACGAATCTGGACTATCACAAATGTTATCGAAGGCTGATTTTTGTGGACCAGTCTCCAATTACCTTTGTGATAGTCCAGAAGCATCATCACACAAGATTGTAAATTTAAATATATAGCACACTATAGTTGATGTAAAATCATTCATAAAATGTTAGAAAAACATCAAACGAATAGTCAAATCAATCTTTCGGTGTAAAAATATACTAAAAAGAGAAAAATATTCAAAATTGATTAATATTGCTTCTATCTGTATAATAACAAAGGCCTCCATTTTCCCATTATTTTCAATGTGAGTGACCTGATTATCATTCAGTGAAGTATTTATTCAGATAGATGATGAATTGTGTGAAAGCATGGAAGTTTTAATTTATAGAAAAAAGAAGAAGAAAATAGCAAGTTTAGTTTTTAATTTATAGAAAAAAGAAGAAGAAAATAGCAAGTTTAGTCATTAATATTATTAATATGACATAATGTCATATCTTTGACAAAGATTCTTATAGTTGAATATATTCATTGCAAGGATATTTGCAGTCTACTTATATTTATTTCTAGAACACTTCATTTATTTCTAGACTATTTCATTTAACTCAACTCAATTTTGGAGGATGAATTTCAAATATAAATTTTTAAAAAAATTATAATTAGAGGTAAATATTTTAAATTTAAAATTTTAAATGATATGTTTTATTCAATATTAAGCTTTCTATTGGATAAACTACTTTCTTCAAATTCTTGTTGATGTAGATCAGAGTATTGTTGCTTTTATCATGACCCAATTGGTGTTGATTGACACCTACACTAAACATACAATGGGAGATCTATCAAAAAATAAGAGACTAGGTCACTATAAGATAATTTAAAAGATAACTAAGAATTGAAACAAACAGAGTTTTATTAATAAAGATAAGGTCTAATACAAAAATAAATCAACATTTTTCATGACCGAAAGAATATCCTAGATATGACTTGGCGCATATGACTCCAACAGGCCCTACTAAAGCCCCTTCACATGCATATAAGTAGTGGAAGTCTACTCATAATTTTGACAAGTCAATCTAATACATCAAAGAAGCAGTCGGGATGTAACTCATACACCATGTACAATGTCCAAAAAATAAAGACATTAACATAGTAAGGATTACATGGTCCTCGGAATATGAGGACTCACCACGTCTTCAACCTTGAAAAATCAACTAGCTACGAGTGTGAGGAAAGGAAATATCACACTCTAAATTATTAAACAATGTAAAAACATGTATGCATAATTAGTACATCAAATGTACTAAGTATGATGGTATCATGCTCCGAGCCTACACTTTAAGCATGACTGACACCCGAGAACCATTGTTGGCCCAATCGAACCCTTCGCATGGCTTACTTACTCAGTAAACTGAACTTATCAATGATAATTTATATAATACTTAAAATGCTATAAAGAAAATGTGAACTAGCCAATAAGACAAACCAAGTCTCTACATAGGATAATGAAATGAAAAGACTGAACTAACATATGCCTGTCCATAAAGTCTCTAAACAACTGAGATGGATGTCAAGACAAGACCCAAATATCCTAATGAAATAAAACTACTAAGAATAATAAAAGGGGTCATGTAGAAGCGAGGAGGTGTTGGGTTTTAGCAAAATGTGAATGGGAAAAGCGAAGAGAAAAATGGAAACGTGAGGGAACCAATTTTGGAGGGAAAACAAAAAGTCATTTGCAAAAGTGCAAATGAAAAGTCATTTCTCTCATTGTAACACCCCGTAGCCAAAACACACCAAAAATTAGTTTTTCAGAAAAATCTGCAGGTGCTACCAACGGTGGCATCGACGGACCGTAGCCTGAACCACGGTCCGTCTTGCACAACCGTCGATGGCATTAGAAACTCCCAAAAATTTTAGCCTAGAAAAATTGGTTAAGTCTTGGATGACGGACTAACTTATGGTCAAAAACGGTCTGTAATCAGTGACCGTCGATCAAGACTCCCTTCAAACACTCTCTAACAAGAGCTATGGATGACCAGCATGGTTCGTAGGTGGACCTACGGTTCGTAGGTCTTACCATAGGTGGAAAATTTGCAACCGGTCAAGGGGAAATGCAAATGGGTAAACTTTAAATGATCATATCTCTTAGAACAAAATGAATTAGGTCTCCCATGACCTAACCACGGATATATAATTGAATTATCTTTCGATAGCCACCGACCTTGCTAAAATCAGACCTCCGAGTAAAACGTTATGCCCATTTTCGTAAAGGCATGTCGAATAGGACCTCACGATGGAACCAACGATGGGGCGTCGGGTGCACGATGGACCATCAGTCCTGGCCATCATGAGGCCCGACAACAACCTTCCTAGGGGTCTTTTTGACCTATCCCGCTCCGTTTAAACCCTAAGTTACGTCATTTTGACACTAAATCATTAGATTTTAGTTAGTTTAAGCCTAGAAACATAATTAAAACATATCCAAGCCAAATCATTAAATCAAAACACAGAAAATTAGAAGCAAGAGAGGAGAAAAAAAGCTCAAGAACCCTAGTTCAAGAACGCCACAATCTCCAGCAGTTACATCCCCAAAACTTAAGTATTTTTTCGTGGATTTCATCACCAGGCATGTGGGATTTCACTAGTGGGTTCCTTTCGCCTATTGGGTCCTTAGTTTCAGTTAGTTATTGATTCTCTTATCATGATTAAACCTAGGGTTTCTAGAACTTTGATATAACTTCATGAATTTATTAAATATATTTTCCAAATCAGATTATCATGTTATTACTCAGATTATCGCATGAATTTCAGAACCCTAACTTTGTATTTCTTTAGTTCTTGAATTACACATGCTAGGTCATATATTTAAGACACTTTAGATATGCATGCCTCAGTTATAAATGCATAATTACCAGATTAATTGTTGCATTCTCAGTTTGCATGTTCAGTTTCGAGCTATCCAGTATTTACAGAAATTCAGATATAATCAGTTAATTATAGAATTCATTGGGAGTATCATAATACCGAGTTGGACTAGGGTTTATCATACCCAATAGTCCCAGAACTACTAGCCGAGTAGGTTGTAAGTCCCCTCTGTGGGAAATCAGTTTAGTGATCACACCAGCATGCCTTTATATCTTTGGCAGGGTATATTGGATCCTCTCGATGGGGCGTAGACATCGGACTCCACATTTAGCTCATGTGGTTTTACTATCGGTTATTAGTAGCTCCCACAGTTCAGTCAGACTCTCTGCATTGACCATTTATCAGTATATTTAGTATTCAGTTTCAGCATGTTATAAATTTGTCATTGCATCAAGTTAGTTTAGAAATTAGCACATCACGTTCAGATTATTATACTTGTTTTTGTGCTTGTTCATTTATGTTTTATTTAAGCTTACTTTATCCTACATGCTCAGTACCTTTCAAGTACTGACGAATAAGTGCATTACATCTTCTCATAATGTAGGTTCAGGTTCTCAGCATCCAGATCACACATAGATCAATTTCCGATCTCCAATTCAGCAGATTAGTGGTGAGTCCTCATTCTCTGAGGACAACAGTGATGAGTGTCATTTCAGTCCTTAGTCATTTAGTTTCTGTTTTTGCTAGATAGAGGTGGGGGCTTGTACCAGTATTTCTAGTTTAGTTTAGAGGTTATTTTCAGACATAGTTAGATTCAGCTTAGTATTGAATTAATAATTCTTTTATATTAAACTCATTGTTTTCAAATATCTCAGTTATAGAATATGGGTATTCCCCATATTTTCATTTTTTAGTATGATTAGCTTCCGCAACAGTTTATTATCTTTAGTATGCTCATGATCAAGCCAGCAGAGTTAGCTTGAGATTACTTGTGGTCCTAGGTTCCGTGTCCGCATCTCGGGGGTAGCTCGTGGTGTGACACTCATATTGGTAGAAGAATTGAATTTATTGACCTTATATTAGGAAACACTTCTTATACTTCTTTATAAGACTAGGCATTGTTTTGAAGAAAAAAAATATTTTAAAGTAATCATAAAAGTTACTTTTTGATGAAGAAATTAAAAAGTAATTTCTTATAGTTTACCAAAGAATTGAATAATTGATTACCTTGGTTAATATGAGTATAAAGTTCATTCTTATCTCACTTTCAAGCACGCCAAGCTTTTAAATTCAAATGGCAACATAGTGGTATTGTCTCTCCCGTAAGGTCAAAGGGAGGAGGACGCTGCAATAAATCAAATTTAGTATATTTGTATCATGTCTAAACGCTATTACAAATATCAAAAATGTTATACAGAGTATAAACACTATCGATAAAAAGGTGATTTGCTTGATTTTTTTTTGAATTCTTTTTTCTCAATTTCATCTCATCCTTGTAACTACAACTAATGAAGGTGGGACAGTCAGCTTGCATAGTCTGCATACATGATCCTTGCACAATATTTCACTGAAAAATTATAAAGAAAATAAAACATACGGCATAGCAAATGATATGAGTACTCCTCCACTATCAACAACTCTTAATTGAGGAAGAGATTAGTGAGGCTGAGGAAATGATAGGTATGGTGGTGATGGTAGGCAGCTATGGTGAATTTCAGATTTTTAATTATTTTTTTACTCAAAAAAATGCCTTTTCTTTTAATATATAGTACATTTTTTAATACTCTCTCGATTTTTTATTATTTTTAAAAAAAGGATTTACTTTTACTTTTTAATTCCTTTCAAAAAGAATCTCTTTCCTTTTATTAGCGATATTTTTATTTTTAGCCTTCCACTTCTGTTGAAAGAGCAGTTTTAAGAAGAGAACGGACACAATTTTGTGATCTTCCTTTCCTATTTATACATAAAATCAATCACTACCTCCCAATGCAGTCAGAAATTTGCAACATTTCAATTTCAAACTTTCACAAAGCAAACTGAAGGCACAAAAACAAACTCGAAATGAGAGATATCTTCTTGTTAAAAGAATCAACTTCACCAAAATAAAAATTGGACACATCCTAATAGCTTTTGTGTATTAAGGACAAAGTATTGAAAGCTCTAATAAAGAGGTAATCCCATATCATGTTTAAACTTTTTTGCATATGTGTACATAGTTTGAACACAAAGTGAAGAGATGGTAGCAATGAGAAAGCACATTTACGAACAAGATCGAATGTCAAAAGCATATGCGTAGCTAAGTAAGATGCGTACCTCTGGGACTTCATCATGGGGGCGGTGAGACTAATATGATTATATGGAGCTTTCAGGAACTAACGTTTCACTTGTAAATCCCAAATAGGTGTCACCCATAGATCTTCTTTTCCGTAAATGAGACAGACCAGTACACTGTTCATTCGACACCTAAATATAGAAAGGTGAAAGATTTCAGCTTTGCTACCTACAATAAGAAAACATATGCATCCGAAATGCTATGGTTATGCAATACTATTTGCTTTACCTACCCAGTCAGTGCCTCTTTGAAATTTAGCTGTCTCCGTGGAGCGAACATTATTGAGGCAATGGATAGACCCTGCAGAAGCGATAACAACATGAGAGGTAAGCACATAACTTGATGTACTTTCTTTATTACCAAAAAACATAGTAAAAGAACTTGAAAATTCCTTCCATGTTAAAAATGCGCCCCAGCAGTCATTTTAAATCATTATTTCATAACTACACTTTTCTGGCCAATAATCAATTTGTGTAAACTACAATAGTAAAGTTTCAACATCATATTTTATGTTACTATAAAAAATATAACAATTCTATCTTAAAGCACACCTCCTGTGTTGTAAGCCCAAAGAGTAGTTCCGTATAATGATTTGCCGAGTCACGATTAATGAAATTACTCTTCATAGTAATACTTCATACTTCACTTCTATATATATTATACACCACATAGTAAAATATTTCTTCGACTAAATAACTTTGATTTTATATTAGTGTTTCTTTTCCTTCAAGGCCACAATTCATCATATGTAAAGACGCATAATCACAGTTCAAAACGCCATACAGTTATCGAGACATATAAAGATATCAAAATATACATTACTCTCTTTTTAAAATAAGACATAAGGAGTGCGAACACCATTATATTCATTGTACAAAAAGCAGTAAAAAAGTTATACTAAAGAGGGTATGAACACTGCTCTATTAGTTGTACAAAAAGGAATGAAGATTGTACTCTCAAAATTATCCCAAACTTACTCAAAAGGAAGCATGAATCTATTCCATCTATTCAACTCTTAGTTATAAACAAAATATAGTTCTGCTTCTATGAATCGTTTTTTTTTCACTTTACAAATTATTATAAACAAAGATACACATTTACACCAAAAAATCGAGATCGTAAAAAGAAAGGTGAACATTGAGCGCACTATAAATATACATTAATATTGATCCAAGTAAAATGTAGTATATTGGATAATACTTGCCAAGAAAGTATTGTCTCTCACAAAATTTTAATGAGGTAACTCCAAAAAACTACTATGGATCAAAAGTTTCTTCAAAGCTTTTCTTGCAATATAAATGTACAATAAATGACTGGTCCTTATTAATAGCATTAGGACTACAGTTGGCAATTCTTAAGTTGAGGATCTCAACATATATGTATTAAGTTACAGTGCATAGTATTTACTTTATCAAGGTTATTCAGTAGAAGAAACAGAAAGTATCTTTTTGAATTTTCTTTTAATCATGATGATATACCTATCAAATGGTTGTTCAATATATCAAAATGTTTTGGGAATTTCAAAATAAAAAAAAACATTGTTAGTAGTATGAGACTAAGTCGCTCGAACTTTGAAAAAGTGTTGTCGCATTGGCATGGGATCCTTCAAAAATATACTATTTTTGGAGGATCCGACACGCACACGTCAACATTTTTAAAGAGTCCGAACAACATAGGTATAAGAAATATCAATAAACACTTTGCATTTTCTGTTTATGGTAATGTTGTCTGGTCTCAATATGCTTTCCTTTTGTTTTCTTCTTTCTCTCTATTATCAAGAGGAAAGTCTTATAGTTAACTTTACTCTGTAAAAGAAACCATCAGAAGTTACATTCAACAATTGTAGAAGCTACACTCAACAATTCTCCTAAAATTAGTTTTTTTGCTCGAAAGAAATACAGGATAAAGGTATAAAACTATAAATAGTGAAATTAGCAGATTTTTCATTATGTTAGATCACGATGTTCAAGCATTAAATTTAGATATGCTTAAAAATGACATTCCATCTTAAATGGAGATCTATCTTAGCTCTAATACACACGACTAAAATATAGAGTATGTCATGTCGAAGGAAAGACTAACAGTTGGTAAGTTTATGAAACTACACGACCATACTAAACCTCTTTTGGGCTTGTTTTGACCAGATATCCAACAGCCAATAGTAGATATTGTTATTGAATAGATAAGAGATGCAGAAGCACCCAATGAATAGATTATGACAAGGAAGAGCTCATATTATGTTAATATTCGCACTCCAACAATATGAATTAAAGGGTTCAGTAACTCTAAATCCCCCAATTATTATATTTGGACGATAGTTTTATCATGATATATATATCTTTAAGTCGATATCTTTTGGTTATACTCTGTCAAGCACAATATTTGTATTAGCTAGTTCTCTACTCTTTAGATGTTTACTTGGAAAATGTTCTCCTCTGTCCCAATTTGGTTATTTTGTTTATGATAATACCAAGCAAAGCAAAAGTATAAAAGAATACATTCATGCGAGCTATTTGGACCAAAGGATATTAAACCCCATACCAGTACACACATCCAAAATATATGCTCTAGCGCATAACTAATGCTTAGAAACACTTTGCTCAAACAAATGTATATGCATGTCCAAAAGAAGAATTAACAAGGCACAAGCGAGATAAATTGTGCAGAAACTTCAAGTATAGCCTTAAGTAAATCAGGCATCTTATATAAGACTCAAAATTCAATGGTAAAATGATCTCAGAACTGACTGTTGAGACCTCTTAGAGAAGTGGCAATGAGAAATGCCCCCAAATTTTAGTAGCATCGTAGTATGCAGAACAATGCAAACTTGTCAAATGAGACAAATTTGCGGAGGAAAAACGAGGGGGGGCGGGGAAATCGCCAGAAATGACTATCGGCTTCCATATAGTACTAATTTTGCTTACACATCCTTCTTGTATTCTAATTCCTAATACAATGTACAGTTAAAAAGTTGAGCCGAAATAGTAAATGAGTAGACATATATGCAAAATCAATTGAGTGGCTGCTGAGCTTTACTTCATCCTTTTTCTTTCTTGTTGCACCCATTTCATAGAAATAGGATTCCTGTTAACTCTTTCCAATTCCCAAACCAAAAAACACGTAAAAAAAGTAAAAGATAATTTTGACTTTACTAAATTAGAAATTAATATCTCCTCACAAAAAATCATTAAACCCAAAAACTGAAAGGAACGCCTACAAATTTACCTTTTGGAATGAAAAAAACACCTCCAAATTCCTAGTCAAATGTGAAATTTCATCACCAACTCAAGAGTAAAATCACTTACCTCTAATTTTCCATCAATTTGCTCTCCCTCTACGAAAATGTAACACCTCCATTGTAGGTCGCTTCTTCTCCTTCTCCCAAGAGCGAAAATGGGGAGAATGATGGAAAATATGAAAACTGATCAAAGAACTAAAGCAAAATAATTGAAAATAGGAGGAAGCAGGACACGTGTATTACACATGTTTATTTATCATTAAGTAGGGCTCATTAGTGTAGTACAATATTCGATGATATTGGTACAACTCTATAGAGTTGTGTTGGTACTTTTTATTGGCTTATATATATATATATATATATATATATATAATATGTTACCTTTATTTCATCTTATATAATACAATTCAATATTAAAAGTCAAATAATTTTTATTAAAAGTTCTTATCTACCTTACATGCTTTTAATTATAAATTTCTAAATTAAGTTAATAAAAAAATTTAAAATGATTTTATTTTAATAAGAAAAATGGTACACATAAAATTTGTAAGTAATGTCAACTATAAGAATTTGTATAGTAGAAAGATATTAAATAGTTTTCCCACATTACCTATCGCATTTGGAATATTACACTATTTATTGTACTGAAAAGAAATTACTTGTGTAATTACCTTTTTATAAATTTTCTCTTAATCCTGACCGGTGAAAGATCGACCAGGTAGGATGAAATGCAGATCAACTAATGTATGATCATTCAGCTTCAAAATCATACAAAGTGATTGTTTGGATTAGCTTACTTAAAATTAACAATATGTAAATTTAAGTGTAAAAAATAATTTTACAAATAAACGGTTGCAAGTTTGGATAGAGATAATGAAATCGATCATAAAAAGCTTATGTGTTTGGCAAAAAATATTGTTAAGTTGTGTTACTATTAAAATGATTGAAAGACTCTAAATAATGTCAAAAAATTATATACTAAAACTAAATCTCTATACAAAAGATCATGGGATATACCAATTTATAAAGAAATTTGGTGAAGATGTATGTATTGTAATACCAAAGACAATAAATTGTTGAACTGTTTGTGTGTGGAAAAATGAAAAAAGAAAATATAGTAGATCTCAATTTCATGTTCGCTAGCATTTTAGATGTTCCACGTTCATTGTCTGGACTTACATATTGATGAATGTTGTTTTATTATCAAGAACTTACTGGAAAGTGATGACCAACAAAGAGAATTCCTCTTTTGTTATATTCAAAATGTTGTCGTTGGTGCATTTGTTGTTAAAGGTAGATCAGAGTAAAGGATATGTATATGACTAAAACTCATCAACGTTATCGTTGCAAACACAGGCAAAAGAACCTCAATCAAAATGTTAAATTAGGGGTGTCAAGATAAAGCTCAAATTCATTCAATCCGCCGAATTCAATCAAGTTTGGACAAATCAAAATTTATCCATCTATTAGCTCAATTTTATCTCATCAACTCATTTCAGCTCATAGGAATTGGATTGATATGTAGCTCAAATTAATTCATGAGTAATCTTATCTTTAATGACATTTATTTATTTAATATAATATAGTCATAATTAAAAAAATAATTTTGGTAAGAACTAAAAACATAAAAGAACAAAATAAAGGAATTAAAGCTTAGTGAGTATTGAGCGCAGGATGAGTTATTATCATCTGCATTTTATTTTATTTTAGCCAATCTATTTCAACACAAATAGCCTTTAAACGATCAATAATTCATCCATTAAAAAGTCATCTTAATTACACCTGTAACATAAACTCTATAAATGAGCACATGATGTAGGTTAGATTAAAGTTGAACGACAGATACACTCACATTGCCTTAATTTGATAAGACAAATACAAGATATCCCAAGACATTGAATTCGTATAAAAACAAATGAAGAAAAATGTAATTTTGTCCTTAGATCCTTATCTATAATTTCTTATTACTTAAAAAAATGTTTGTACTTTGGATCATTGATCTGATTCTATGTTTGACCAAATAGTCTGATCGGGCGAAATCAGAAATTTTGTTAAGTATGTTCAAAATTTATTATATATATATAAGATGCATTAATCTCTTTAATAATGATTGTATCCTATTTTTAGAAAGGTCAATTTTTCTGAGGGAGTTATAGTTGTTTAATATTTGATTATCAAAAATGTATTAAAAATATTTTTTTATCCAAAGGGAAAAAAAAACTTACGACTATATTAATGTGTAACTTAACATTTTTTTGCTCTAATTATGTCACGACCCAAAAATGGGTGTGATGGCACTCGTCTTATCCCACCAAGACAAGTCAGCCTAAAACCAAATATCTAACAAAGTGCGGAAGTAAATGACAATCCAACAACAATTTCTAGTATGAAACCAAGTCATATTAATTCAATCCCCAAAACCAGGTTGTCACGTGCACAAGCCTCTAATGTAAACATTAGAATTGAAACAAAATAGAAGTCTAAAATGAAGTTGTCTTTCAAGTAAAAACAAAATCATAAACTGGAGTAGGAAAGTTCGCTGAGATGACAAACAGCTACCTCACAATCCTCCACAAGATGCCTCGGAAACGAAGAGAATAGAAGGTATCACAAAGATCCAGGCTCGTAACCTACAAAAATTTGTAGAAGCAAGGGGTGAGTACCAAACCACGCGGTACCCAACAAGCAAACCTCTAAACACAAGTTAAGTGAACAAAATACGGGTACTCCTTACACCCTATCTAAACCTCCACGCTACAGCCTAACAGTTTACCAAATACACCCCTCAATAACCACACTCTATCAGTTTACACATTCTCAATAACAACTCAATATTCAACAATCACAGACTTCACAGAGAAACAATCACAAGATCAGCAAAACACATGTTCAAGTTCATCAATAATAAAATGTGCAATGCCATGAGATGCAATGTCAAATATCGTGATGCATGTCTTTCCTAACGATACACACCCGCTGTCTCTCAGTCCGGGACCCATGGGGGACATATCTGTCCATGCATCTGTCGCGGCGCACGACACGACCCTCGATAATAGTAACCTTCGCGGCGCGCGATACGTCTCTCGAAATATAATATCCATCGCGGCGCGCGATACGACCCTCGAAATGATACACCCTTATACCACAATCATGTCTCAGATACAATGCAATTGACATGCTCAAATGAAAATGAGGAGATAACCATTTTGATAACAAAACACAATTTACAGCAAGGAATACAACACTAACAAATAAGCAACAAGTCTCCAAATCGTTCTCAACACCACACAAGAAGATACACGAATTTCATACGCTTAACAAGAGTTTAGAAATCCACTTGCCTTAGCCAATCGAATAATTACTCTTGGACTTGAGCCTTCCCTTTCCGTTGAGCTTCCGAACCAATGGAATCTATTCAAGTATATATTTACAATAAGGTTTCGGAATTAACAATACTCACACTTTTATGTGTTTAATCTTAACCTAGAAATTCATCCAAAATTTATAATCAAGTTTGTAATTCTTGATGTCAATTAACATTTCAACTATCATATTTTTCATCAAATTTCAAGTCTAGAATTTAATTCTAATTCATCCAATATTATAAATCTAATAATATTCACATTATATCCCCTACCTAATATTTAATTACTTGCTATAATATGCCAACATATAAAAACTATCTCCAAAAATCAAAGTAACATAGGAATAGGACAAATAATGAACAACATAGGTCTGCAAATTTCTTTTTTTATTATTATTATTATCATTTTTTTTTCAATTGATATTGTGAATCTTTTTCCTAAATTCAAATCATCATTCCCAAGGATTAACAAGGGTCATTTTCCAATGACCACATTGGCCATCCAATTTTTTTTTTTAGATACAAAGAAAAATCGGTACTACATATATACTAATTTGCATATTTATATGCAATTAAAAATTAACTCCTTTGTATTTCAAAACATTACAATAATAATAAACTAATATATATATATGTCGATAGCATTGCTCTTTACCTGGACAAGTGGAAGTGGTGCCGCCGCCACTCACAGGTTAATTTCTTTCCCTTTTTCTCTTATCTCCTTCTTGTTTTTAATTAAAGTAATTAGGTATTTAAGTGGTAAATTTTACTAACTTAATTTTATTATATGGAACAAATGGTATAAGATCTTTTTAAAAGATACTTTAGTCCATTAACTATCAATTAAGTCAATTGTCCACAAATAATTAACTAAAGTCAATGAATAGTTCAAAATTATCAAAAATGACCTCTGGGGTCATTACAAATTAGCCAATAATTAAACATTATTATTAATCTTCATCATTCAAACTTCCATGAACATATTCATTAATTTGTTCATAATATTATTAATGTTGTTCATAATATTATTGTTGTAATCTTCTTTTTACAAAAAAAAAAATAGTTAATTGACCAGGCAAAATGACCAAATAATTAGACGTGGAAGTATTTATTAGTATTTTATTGTCTGATTCAGTGCAGGATACTTATCAGAAAATTAAATAGATGTTTATGATTAAAAATTCAATATATCAGTTATTGACTTTTAAATAATTAATCGACCAAATTAATCAATACATTGGTATAAATTTAGTAGTTATCAATCGATTTATTGGTTAATCATGAATGTAAACTAAAGTATTAATAGCCCAAGATTTTGTACACGAATGGTGGATGACTTTTAAGAATAAGTAGAGTGCTTCCATCTCATTGTCAGAAGAGTACTATTGACCTCGTTATAAATTTGAGGCATATATATATATATATATATATATATATATATATATATATATATATATATAACTACCAATATTTTCAAAAATATTAACTATCTTATCACTCATTAAGAGCTTCCTACTATATATTGAGAAATATACCTTTAGATATGTGTTTTTTTGCTACTATATACTGTTATGTTCATTTTAGACACCTCATGTAGGATAACGGTATACTCTTTTGATAGTTTTTTTTTACTAAAAGTAAAAAGGTGAAGGAGAGTGCAATACACTCGTCGATGACGCGGCAATTGACGAATTAAATGATTACAAGTGTTATTTTAAGTTAAAAACTATTTTAAAATCAATTTAGTAAATATGTAAAAATATTATTCTAAATAAAAATCAATTTAACCCCCCTCCCCCATGGTAGTTGTCTTCTCTACTATACCCAACAATTCTTAATTTGCTCTT